TTTTTTTTTTTTTTTTATTTCGATATGACAAAAAGGAAAAATTAAATTACAAACGTACAAATACCACACATAAACACTTTAAAGTGTCAGGAACCAACAACAGGGTTAAAAACCCCAATAACAGTGGCCCTTATCTTATTACCGAGTGAACAATAACACAACATAACATATAAACACTTGCAGAACTAGTATTGTTCGATGCTGAATTAATATAAACGAGTATGTTTATGACATTCAGTATATAGTTCATACTTTCCAGTCTTAAATCCGTCTGACTCTACGACTGTGGCTTTGTAAATAATGTTGTTGGTCATATATACATTGTTTCGGTAGTGGGCAAGTGTTTTTGTTGTCGCAGTTAATACAGTTGTCAGTTTAGTGTAATTGTGTAAAGTGTTTGTCAATTAATCTTAAGAATTCCCGTCCTATATTCGTGTTAACACTCTTAGGCCTACTAAATGGTGGGTTGAACCAAATTATGTTGCGTTGCCTATTCCTATGTGTCCGTTGAGATGCATCCTGATCGAGTGTACGTAAATTCGTGATCAAAGTTACTATGTCTAAGGGCGTTCTGGTAAATACCTTATTATAGGAAATTAACGATGCACTTTATTAATTAATTAACGCGGATTTTAAAAATTTAATGTGATCGTTAATTTTAAGTATGTAATTTTCATTTATCGTTAGTTAAAAATACCTAGATTTGTTTTATATAACACTATAAACTCTTTTTTAAATATCAAAATACAGCATATTAACGTAAACTAACAACATCAGTTGTCCTCTTAACATTAAACCTTTGTTGTTGTTGTTGTGTCTATATTTTCCGATTCGCGTTAATTTAATTAATTTGTCACCCATGGAGATCAGATTCGCGTTCAAGATATAATCATGTTTTAAAAGAGCTAGAAGCAATCCGCGTTAATTTGATGTCGTGTTAATTTATGTCGCGTTAATAAAGTGTATCGTTAATTTCCTATAATAAGGTAGGCGTAGATTCCTTAAATGTTTGTTCGTCCGATGAGAGAAGTGCAATGGCAATGCGTTTGTTGATAGCGTAGGTAATTGTCTTGTAATGCTTGGTGGATGGTTTGAATGTCTGTTGATGTACAATGGATCGTCATTGGGTTTCCTGTATGGTTTGTGTTTTGCGTTGTTCAGGTCGAAAGTATATAACATCTAAAAAATTTACAACGTTCAAATTTACTTCGGCGGTGATTTTCAGGTCAAATTGCTCAAAAATTTTGTGTAACTCTTCTAGTTTTGTCGTTAACGGGCGGATTTGCTTTTTATAATAGCCAAACCGTCATCTCTACAAAGGCCGATGTTTTCCTTGCCAAACTTCTTACCTAAGTGATTCAAAATGAAAAGGCCCACCAGCTCACAAACTTCAGCGCCGTCGAAACTACCCATAGTGACGTCAAATAAAATGTTGCTTCCGTCTTTCTTTGTCCATAATTTGCCGTTGCCGAAAAGTAGAGATTTTCTTGCATGTTTTATTATTGAAATATCGTTTTCGGTGATAGTAGCCAAATCAGAAGCCGAGGCCAATCCTTCGTTTAAATGTTTTTCAGAAATGGATGGGTAAAAATCCACAATGTCAAACGAAATAAAACTGCATGTGCCTGTCTTTATCGTTTATATTGCCAACCCATGAAATTACTTGTTGCATGCGTATTCCTCCATTAATTTGAATTTAGTTTTTGTCTCAAATTGGTATTGATTTTATCTAAAATAACCTTACTCAGTTTTCCGGATTCGATTTTTGCAGGATTAATTAATCGGCATTTTGGATTGTTCTCGAAATTTTCTTTGTGATCTTTTAAAAATATAAATGCTTCGCGTTTTTTCATTAATTCGTTCAATTCTGTCGCCAATTCCTAACCTACTCGAAATTTCTTTCAATACCAAGTCAATTTCATCTATAAAGTCCTCTGATCCATGTTTGTACGTTTTCGTGATGTTGTCATGAAAGAGTTCTTTGTATGTGTTCAGTGACGTTTCGTAAATGTTTCTAGTTTTGTCCGCAAAAATGAAAATATTGGGGGAAGAATTAATTTTCTTCAAATCGTTAGCCAAAGATGTCTGAACTTCCCACCGGGCACACGACGTTGTTTCAACGTTGAAATTTGTTAGAAAAAAGGTTGCGACGTCGACAACCTAATATCTACGTTGCTCTGACGTTGTTTTGCAAACATTGGTTCAACAGCAGCCAACAGATGTTGAATTAACGTTCATTCATGGTTAAATGTACGACGTCGATTTGTGAACCAATCTCAACGTTGTTTTAACGTGGATTCAACGTTGAATTATGGTTGACGAGATTGGCAACCTAATTTCAACGTTGTTGCAACGTCGAAACAGTAACGTCGATCCAATTTGCATAGTCAACCCTTTTTCAACGTCTATCCAACGTCTGGAAGGTCATTTCCAACGTTGATTCGACGTTGGATAAACGTCATTTTGCCCGCTGGGTTGTTCTTTAGAACGCCGAAATTTTACGTTTTCAATTAGTTTTATCAAGTCGTCTTCGAAAGGTTTCAAAAGCGGTATTGAAGGAGGCGATTTGTTAGACGAAAGGCCGAAAAGGTTGCTTTGGTTTTGAGTTGTTGATCCTTTTAGGAAGAAATTAGCTTTCTATCTCATTCGTTTTATTACGCTTTCCACTTTTTCAATCAAATTCTTTAAGTAAGCATCCTGTGACGGTATAGGAATATTCTTTAGTGAATAATCGAATCGAAATTGTCGCATGTTTGAAGTAGAAATAAAATGAATAACGTAGACAAGAGTGCAGCAAAACCGATTACCGGGTGCAAATATAGCTAAAATTTTTGGTTTACAAAACACAAACAGTGCTCAATACCATATAGATATATAGAGCGTAATATAGTTTTTCGTTTTACCTCATGGACTTACCTCATGGATCAGAGGACTTTATAGATGAAATTAACTCCGAGTTGAAAGAAATTTCGCCAGTAGATTATAGGAATTGGCGACCAAATTCAACGAATAAAAAAACGCGAAGCATTTATATCTTTAAAAGATCACAAAGAAAATTTCGAGAACAATCCAAAATGCCGATTAATTAACAATAATAATAATAATAATATAATAATAAAACTTTATTTAATGAGTGATTACATTGATTACTTAATATAGTATTCTTCCCAATGGCCCTCGATGTCCGATAGTAATATGTAAAAAAAAATCCTATTGAGAGTAACATTGACAATGAGTAATATGCTTACAATCGATGCAGCGGAATTTATTAACGTGATCTACTTCAAAATTCAATTGAATAAAGTAGGTTTTGAGCTTCTTAGTTTATAGGAATAAATTGAGTGATTTTCAATTAATTAATCCCGCAAAAAGCGAATCCGGAAAACTAAGTAAGGTTATTCTAGATAAAATCAAATCCAATTTGAGACAAAAACTAAATTCAAATCAATGGAGGAATACGCAACAAGTAAATTCAAGGTTTGGCAATATAAACGATAAAGACAGGCACAGTTTTATTTCGTTTGACATTGTGGATTTTTACCCATCCATTTCCGAAAAACTTTTAAATGAAGCATTGGCTTGGGCTTCTGATTTGGCTACTATCACCGAAAACTATATTTCAATAATAAAACATGTAAGAAAATCTCTACTTTTCGGCAACGGCAAATTATAAGGAAGCAACAGTTCATTTGACGTCACTATGGTTAGTTTCGACGGCGCTGAAATTTGTGAGCTGGTGGGCCTTTTCATTTTAAATCACTTAGGTAAGAGGTTTGGCAAGGAAAACATCGGCCTTTATATATGAGATGACGGTTTGACTATTATAAAAAGCAAATCCGCTCGTTTACTAGACAAAACTAGAAAAGAGTTACACAACATTTTCGAGCAATTTGACCTGAAAATCACTGCCGAAGTAAATTTGAACCTTGTAAATTTTTTAGATGTTACTTTCGACCTGAACCGACGTGAAACACAAACCATACAGGAAACCCAATGACGATCCATTGTACATCAACAGAGATTCAAACCATCCACCAAGACAATTACCTACGGCTATCAACAAACGCATTGCACTTCTCTCATTGGACGAACAAACATTTAAGGAATCTACGCCTATTTACCAGGACGCCCTTAGACATAGTAACTTCGATTACGAATTTACGTACACTCAGGATGCATCTCAACGGACACGTAGGAATAAGCAACGCAACATAATTTGGTTCAACCCACCATTTAGTAAGAGTGTTAACACGAATATAGGACGGGAATTCTTAAGTTTAATTGACAAACACTTTCCACTACAGCACAAACTATTCAAGATTTTCAATAGAAACATTTTAAAAGTAAGCTACAGTTGCATGAACAACGTTAAGTCTATAATCACCAAACACAACGCACATATAATTAGGAACAGCTAATCACAGAACTACGGAAACTGACAACTGTAAGTGCGACGACAAAAACACTTGCCCACTAGCGAAACAATGTATGACCAACAACATTATTTACAAAGTCACAGTCACAACGTACAACACGAACGACACTAAACACTACATTGGTATGACAGCGACTACATTTAAGGAACGTTACGCTAACCACACTTTATCTTTTCGTCATTAAAATACTCAAACAAAACAGAACTTTCGAAACATATTTGGAAATTAAAAGAAAATAATTAGGATTATATACCATCAAATGGTCAATTTTAAGTACTGTTTCGCCTAAGCATCAATTGTTTCGCCTAAGCATTGTTTCGCCTGCACGCATTCCGCGCATTCTTTCTCTAGCATAAAAGCAACCTACATTTTCGAAATTACTCACCACCTGATGATTCCTATACGGATGAAACAGACTGTTGTGGTTTTTTAAGATATAGACAATTTAATAAGCTCTGCTATATTTTTAGTATTGAGCACTTTATATATCTAGATAACCAATATATATATATATATATATTCTTTGCCTGCACATGACGTCACTACGTGTCATTAGCAGCATGAGCTCCACCTTTGAATTTACTATATGAGTAAATTCTTAAACACGTCCGAATTTATCTTTATGATAAATTCGTGGCACATTTTGAATTTATCATAATCGGCAGCCTAGTCCCAGTCGTCTGAAGCAAGCGCGAGAAAAAATGCGGATGTAGTACGAGACTGGAACCTAGGTGTGACGTCACCGCTAAAGGTGCTTCAGAACGCCTAGCAGATTTCAGTATTTTTAATATGGCGGAAAATTTATATATACAAATAACCTTGTAAATACGACAATGTTCGTTGATCATGTTCGATGTCTACATAACCAAATTCAAACTGTATTAAAAATGTGCTTAATTAAAAAAAAATATTTACAAATTTACGATACTGAGTCTGAGCAATGGTCGTATAATCGTTGATGTTATTTATATACTCGCAAGTTGTGATCAACACTAGACCATTTGGTATACACAACTACGCTTTCTACTTGACAGTTTTAAGTAGCTGAGAAGATTCGAAATATTTGCGTGACATGACTGTGTTGTCAAAACATTTTTAGTCGGAGACTCGGCATAATTTTCAAGCTTCTAGATAGCATTTAATATGGCTTTATATTTTAGTACACACAAGTCATATTTAGCCCGTTATTCCACTCTGAGCGATATGGTAGCGAAACGAAGCATATTTCATTGTTCTGACAGCATTAGAGCAAAACCAACGACTTAATTATAAACGCAAAGGAAATTTCCATAACATTTTTTCTTTACAAATGCGGTATGTTTGGTAACCAGGCCAGGGACCACTTTTTTGAAATCAGGGACCATTTTACCGAAGTGTACCGCACAGCACACCCAGGCACAAAACGTTTAAAACTTACTTAAATATATCAAAGCATCGAATAGAGAGAGAGCCTGGGACTAGGCTGCATAATCGGATAAATTCGCGGCATCTAACCCCTAACACTAACCCCAACCCCAACCATGCACTAACCACTAACCCCTAACCCTAATCTAACTTTTTAAACTTTTTTTTCTTTTTTGGACTTTTTTAAAACTTTTTTAAACTTTTTTTTTAAATCTTGAAAATCTCCTCAACCCGCCGCGACCAGCCTCCCTTTTAGTGACATTACATTTATAACAAAAAGTCTTGTCTAATGCTTGTGCTTTTATGATTAACTCTACTGATAAATTCAAAATGTGCCGCGAATTTATCATAATGATAAATTCGGACGTGTTTAAGAATTTACTCATATAGTATAAATTCAAAGGTGGAGCTCATGTTGGTCATTAGGCGCCATCTTGGTTAATTTTAAAGTTTTATCCAGCCGTTTACATCCGAATAGTTGAGTTCCTTTAATATAAAAAGGTTTGTTTTGAAAACATCTGAATAACTTACCTGATATAATCTCCTGGTTTGGGTATGTTTAAGGTCAGAGTGTAAAAGAACGTTGTGAGTGGATTCACTGCCTCTAAAGGTAAGAAAATTACTAAATCATTCAGCTTGACCAGCAAATTGAATCAGAATATTCATGTATTGCCAGACGACTGGACAACCGCGGAAAAGCCCAAAAGCAATATGGCAATATCGCTAATTGAAAGTATGCAGCAGATGATAAATAGGAACAAAACCAATTCATTCATACTTGTGATTACATACAGAGCAAACGCTGTTTCAAAACAAGCCAGGGAGATTATGTTGTAAAAAGAACATTACAAAATCTTATTTGACATGCAAGAAACTCACAACTTTGATAAAAATTATTCACGGGACACACGTAAATGCTCCTCCGAGGCTTCAGAAACGCTAGCACCTCAATGCTTGCTTAACCATTTCTGGTCCTCGTGTACCAGCACATTTTCCTAATCGAATGGCGTCTTATAAAATCATATCATCTTATAAAATCGTATCCAAGCATTTGTGTTGTCTGTCGTCACCTAATGGCAAGGAATACTCTTCATAACCAAAAAGTCCTAAATTCAACCCAATGGCGAACTTGTGCAGGATGGTTCACAAGATCAGAAGCCAGTTTGCAACTACGTATTGACAGATATGCGAACATGCATCTTTTTATTATTTTCCGATAAATTTTGTTTCAAATAGCTTAAATGAAATCATGCTAACCAGTTATCAAACTAAATGCGCAATTGAACATCTGACAACTTATTAGAAAAGTCTATAATGAAATTTTGCAAAATATTTAGGTTTTTGGGCTTGTATTAAACTTTTTGGCAAATAACTGTACCTTTCTCATTATCACCTTCTCTCAGAACCGGCTTTTCATTTACGGTAATACTTTTTACTTCTGATTTATCTTCGCCTGCATTATTTTTTGCATCGCATCTGTAAGATCCTGCTTCTTTCAGTTTAATTTTTTTCTGGTTAAACAAGTACCGTCCGTTTTCTCCTGGAACAAATGTATTGTCATAATACCAAGAAATTTTTGGTGGAGGTCTTCCTTTCAGTGTGCGGCACTGTATAGTCACACGATCACCTACGCTTACGTTAGTCTTCTCTACCAGCAACTGTACTTCTGGTGGAATTGGAACTACAAATTAATTACATTTTAAATATTAATTGTTACTTGAATTTAGTTTTAAAACATCGTAATTTTATAAAACCGTCAGCGTTCAAAGAACTTTCTACAACACAGTAGAACAGTATATAACTATAATGGAACTTTAACTCATTATGATTCGTGGTGATTTCAAAATCTCTTCGCCGTACAATCTTAGACACACTAAATGCTCTTTAATTAACAATTATTCTTCGAAGGCGAAAAAACAAACCGCAGTGCATTAATGATTGTGTCACAATGCTCGCACATTATCCAATCAAATCGTGTGTTATATGTTATATTTTGATCAGAAAAATCTTGCCCCAAAATATTAGTTATACCACCGAATTTAATTTATATCAGTAGTATGATAAACGAATTAAATATTCGCAAAGCAAACAAATCACGAATTAGCAAAAAAATACGAAAAAACACGACCATAAGCATGAACGGTCAGAAAAACCGCGCGTTTTGACTGCTTTTTCTGAGTTTTTGAAAGTTTAAGAAAAAACTAAGATGTCATACCTCAGGAATTATTTAAACCCATGCAAAATACATCTGTATGCGAAGTTTCAAGAAGATTGAACGTTTTAAGGTCGGAAAAAAAGCATTTAAAAATTGACAAAAATATTGCAATATTCAAAGTGCTCATAGACATAGTGGCCAACAATTCAACAAGAAGAGCGATGATGAAAATAACATCACTTGAAAAACGTCAATTTATTTATGTTTTAGAAGGAATAAAACAAGGACTAAAAGCTCAGGATCAATAACAATACCTGGGTTTAGTACAACATAAGCTTTGCCTTTGGGACTGTCAAAATGGTTTATAGCATATTTTTTGAGTTGAAGAGCGAGGTTTCTTTCGGCACGTCCAAACTTTCGTGTCAGTTTTTCAAAATACAAAAGCAAAACTCCTCACTTTTTGCTGCTGAGATATTACTAAAACAGTCGGAACTAATCAGCAAACCTGGTTTGAATCCCAATCATTGTTGTATTCCCATGGAAAAAGTGTTTCTCCTGCAAATATTTGCTCGAAAACAAACTTTTGACCGAATTTTTTTCACTCCTCGAAACTATCCTTAAAAAGTCCTTTTAAAAGCTGATTTTCCCGCGCGCCGGCTTCAACGAATCATAGACCTTCATCATAGAAGTTAGCCTTCCAGTTATTTATAGTTCAATGGTCTATATCTGCTAGTATAAATCCTCTATGTCAGGACGAAAAGATAAGAATAGCCATGTACGAGACGAAACATACGTAAAATCGCTGATCGCTATATTAGTTGCCGCTTCTCGATCGATTTTCGTCTGCAACCGGAAAATATTGAGTTGTCATGAGTAATTGCCAATTGGTTATTGCTCAGTTAAGGCAATATATATATGCTGAATAAATTACATCTCGAAATATGCATATGTTATTGTGTATCTGCATATGATTGGTCTGTACGTCAATAAAAGATCGACTAAACCTAATATGCGACCAAAGTACGTCATGCGCGCGCAGTTTCAGTTTTCGTTTAAACTTTCTACCAAGAGGAAGTAACTTTTCAGTCTCTCCACAACACTGTCACAGACCGGAAAGCTCAAGGGTAACTTTAGTATAGATTAGTTTTATTTATGTATATATATATATATATATATATATATATATATATATATATATATATATATATATATATATATACATATAATCAAATATCTGTAATCGACAAATACCTGACTCGCGCGGCGGACAGCATTAGACTCACAAATCATAATGAACGAATTAATGAAAGGGCCTAACAAAAGACGTAGAGAAGATATATATATATATATATATATATATATATATATATATATATATATATATATATATATATATATATATATATATATATATATATATATAATTTGGCGTCTACATAATATACAGCAGTTGTTTTGAAGCCATATTAGTACACGCAATGTCGCCCTATTAAATTAACTCACACGTTGATATCGTGTTTTTCTTTAGTTGGCATATTTCATCTGTCAAGATACAGCCGTGGAGTTAATCGTGTTGGCATATTTCATCTATCAAGATACAGCCGTGGAGCTAATCATGTTATAGCAAGGCTGCATGTATGCTAATGCAAATGTCATGGCGCGGACATGCATATTTCAAATCCCATGAACGGGTATACAGCATGCAGGTGCCTAGACTGACAATATTATGGCTTAAATTAAAATTTCTGTGAATTGTAATGGCAAACAAACCATGCTGAACGGAAAATGATAAAATTTCGCATAATATGCTCACATTTTAATTCATGTAACACATGATATTTAATTCAATGAGACAAGCCCGGCGCGAACGGATTTTGTCCACGCAGCAATAATTTACTTTTGGTCCATCATAACAAATAATCATTTGCATATGATGTCAGCTTAAGTCATAGAAATCTTATATACAACTAGATATAGTGCATCTAATTATTCTGCAATTCAAAAATTGAAGCCGTGATTGCAGTCTCAGATCGTTCCCATGAAATGAGAAGATTCGCATATTTTCTATTTCTTAAACACGGAAATTAAACATGAAGTTAAACCTATGCCAAATACGTTTTTAAACTATTCAAACGATGAAAGTTATTGTTGTTGTTAAGCGTTTATTAGCAAGTGGGAACGACCAACATGGCCGCCATCTATTCAAATGGGGGTAACCAGCGCTGGAATATTCGTGGCTTCAAATTTTACTAAAAGAGATGCGCTATCTAGTGTATATAAGATATCTATGGCTTAAGTAGCTCAGTATCAGCATATATATTCACTGATCCAACCAATCATGTTTACGAAAACAAATTTGCATAACTGAATAATTATATGAGTTGAAAAAGTTTTGGGCTTTTTTGGGCTTTAAAGCACGAAGGGAAGAGATTTTTACATTGATTTGTGACGCCCCTGTGGAAACTCAGCTGCACGATGGTTGGCTTAAAAATATAACATTATAGCTGGCTGAAATGGAGTCACCTGTGACCTGTGAGTCTGTCCTAGCTCTAGCTATAACAACTAACTTATGACTCTCAACCAATGAAAAGGGAGAATGAACTCAGAATATTATACAAATTTATACTTCACGATATATATATATATATATATATATATATATATATATATATATATATATATATATATATATATATATATATATATATATATATATATATATATAGATATAAGTAAAAATAACAACCTGAAATGAACAATGTTGTGTAAGCATCTTCTCGTATGTTACCGTCGTGCTCAATACGTAAAGAAAAATTCTTCTTATGAGAAAATTCCTTCACCGTTGTGAGCGTAAAAGCGAATTCGTTTTTTGAAATATCACCAGACCAATTTGCCGTTGTTGCATATTTTTCTATAACTTTCGGAAATAGTTGTGGTTCACTACCATCGATGCTGAATGCATAATATATCAGTGTTTTTGAATCAGAACCCTCCAAAACATTTAACTCAGTTAGAAGAGCACAGCAAAAAATCACTTTCTTATTTTAAGAAAAAAAAAACTTATTTTAAGAAAATTTTCTTAAAATAAGTCCAAATTTTCTTGGGAGACTGGTAAGAAAATTTTCTTACTAATTTTCTTAAGAATTTTTTTCTTAAG